ACTGAAAGCACGCAGTACTCAGCTTCATCCTGCAGCTGAGAAAGCTTGAAAGGTGAAGCTGGCCGACCTGTGAAAATCATGATGACAATATTGTCCATGTTGACAGGATTGACAGTCCAACAAATCTCTTCAGAAGCAGCGAAAGCACCCACTATATAAATAGATCTAAATAGCACCTAGTTATACGTATACCTAGTTCTTGAATCAAAGCTAGAAAGGTGTGAGGTGGTACCTTCGGTTAGGAGGAAATCAAAAATCTGCCAAGTCCAGGACAAAGCACATGCACTTCGTGCACAGCGAAGGGATCGTCTGGCTCCTTGGACACATGCAACAAGGAAACACCCCAGGTGCCTACAATTTGCTCAAGCATCTACAGAATCTACAGGATTTGTCTTGCTGTACGCGTGTTTGCTATTTTTTACCAGAAAAACATCCTCTTCACTTTGTTGCGATACATTTTTCGAACGGCACACCCGGGTACCATGTCAAGCATGCGCACAATGTGAAAACACTTTGACTCCTTGGGATGGACAGGGGCATCCGGGAAGAAGTCATGCATGTCGCAAGAGTGAAACAGACGTGTGATGAAACTGTCAGGAAACTGTCAGGTGTAGTGGGCCAGTGTCTCTGTAGCTTTCAGCCAACAGTGTCACCATCTGTCCATATGTTTGCTTGCATTACATCTCTTGCAACTACGAGAGACACTGAGTTCTTATGAGTTCTTGTCCGGTTTCAAAGTTCGAGAGCTACATTGCCAGCAGGCAAAGCTACAGTAGCTGCAGCCGCAGTTCGAGTAAAGTTTGCTTCAAACCATTGAAAATCCGATGTTTCTAAGGTGGATCAAAAGAAAAACAATCCATTGTAATCCATGAAAATATGGGTCCCCCTAAATGCACTATAGTGACTATAAAATACTAAGTAACTGATCATTTTTTTCACAGCTAAAACTGCCGCTTTGGGGTGCCGTCCATGTTCAGTCAAACCCATATGCTCGTGTCATCTCGTGTCTGCCTTTAGCCACCAGAAGACAAACTGCCTTGCGCATCATTGCTCCGCTTCGCGTGAAGATGCAACTTGCCATCAGTCAGCTCAACCAAGAAAAAAAAAACATATACTATGGTAGCCCCAAATAGATAGAAAAATCACTTGTCACTATCTTAGCGGGAGTTTGACCTTACCAACTTCTATCTTTTTTGGGTTGCTATAAGGTGAGATACAAGTGATTCCTGTGGTAAACCCATTCTCGCTCTGCCTTGCCACTCAGTGCACCAGGCCTCACAGAGCCAAACGAAGAAACCCCAAAAACATCGAAAAGTGGAAAAATATGGAATCTGGAAAACTGGAAATATGAAGTAAAAAATCATCTATAACATCCTGCAAACATTGTTCTGTCTTTTTGGGGGGTGGCTGTGGTTGAGAAAAAATGAGAAAATACGAAAAGCTTTGGACATCTGATGTTCAACACTGATTAACCAGTGAACTTCGTGCAATTACAAACTCACCCACACACAGGCAGCCCAAATGCAAAATGTCTGCACTGTTCAAACAGCTGAAACCAATTGCACCGGTCGTACATATTTTTTGCTGGTAGCAACCGCGCTGTTTTCCGAGGCTCACTACACAACCAAACTGCCATGCTCGGACCGGGCCGTTGCTGCACGGAATGGCCGCTGGCGGCGGAGCTATTTGGCTTGCTTGGCTGCTTTACGGTCACCACGAGTCACAGCATGGAAACCTGCCTTGATGGAAGCTGCTGTTCTAGAGGCTCCACATTTTGAACACTCGACCATGGTCAGTCGTGTCGAAGGGTCTTTTCGGAGAAGGGTCGCAGCGGACTTGCACATCTCGCAGGTCACATACTCCTTGATGTACCTTAATCAGAACACAAGGGCAGAGCACAATCCAACAAGCTGCTATCAAAAATATGAAGCATGTTATTTGTAGTACCCCATATTACTAGCCCTATTCCGAACAAAGACATATCATAGATTATCATAGTATTTTACAATGAATTCAATAAATGTTGCTATTTTCCTGCTATTTTCCCCAGCAAAGTCACTTGCGCAACAAGCTTTCGCAATGCTTGGGCTGATAGCGTCCCTTCAGCACCAGCTGTCCATCCTGTCCCTGTCCCTCCGCGCGCGCCGTGGCGGTGCCCGCGATGGCGCCTTCGGTGCCGAACTCCGCCAGGACGAACTGCTGGACGTGGTCCACCGGGCGCTTCATCATGCTGCAAATCTCTGAGAAGTTCACCCAGGCAACCTGCCCAGGTTGCGGCCGGAGGAGCTGGAAATGACCCAAGTTCTTTGGAAAAAATGGAAATATGGGGGAAAAGATTGGTTCTTTATGGTTCTTTTAATGCCACACTGTGTTTTGAGAATGGTAGATCCACAATCCTGGTAAACATCCCACTATGAGGTTACCTACCAGTGGGAAATTCCAGTGGCCCTGGCGAATCGGATTGTGATTCGTGGGGGACCAAATGATATCCTAATCGGCCCAGTATCTCCACTTGTAGATTGTAGATGGGTTTTGCTGTAAAACATTCTCCTGCAATCAAACATCACAATGTTCAAAATTTGAGCAAGGAAGTCATACGAAGTCATCTTTATAACTCGATATCTTGATCTGAGGTTCCCATCGCTGGGTTTGAGTGTGCGAGCTTTTCTGCCATAATGGAGCTGGGCATTGTACCCCATTGTACCCCCCAATGGCTTCAATATATTGCGGGTTCTCACATTGGGGGACCCCAAAATTGATCAAAATTGATGGTTTATCATCATTTCTCCACTATTAACATAGCCATAATTGATGGTATACTGGTATACCCCATTTTCAAACACAGCCACGTGGAAAATTGCTGCTTGTATCCCATTATATCCCACCGTATCCCATAAAAGCATCTTCATACCCCAAATGGCAAAAGCAACTGGCTCCCCATGGGCCACCTTTTTGGAGCCCACACGGACAACCTGCGGAGGCTTAAGTACGTAACGCTCCTTGTTGCCTTGGGCGGCACATGGCGATGTATCCTGACCCAACTTTGGGATGAAAATATTGCAGCCATGGCCATCTCTAGTCCTATTGGCTTTTTGCCACCAAGTTTGTGACTCTTCCTGAGTCAAGCGAAATGTTTGATGGCAGCCAGTCTGGGGATATTGAATCATGCTCTGCCGAGTTTGTACCCACACAGAGCATTGCATATCATATAATGTTATAAGTTATAATATACTATAATTATGAACGCATCCCCCAAACTCGGGGAAATAAAGGCCTCCCAAACAAAAGCTCCGAATTTCATCCTACTTTAATCAAAGTTGCCTACTGTTGGGTTGTGCTCCTCAATGATCTTGTACAGCCTCGCCAAGAGATCTTCGTAAGGCTTCATGGGACCGGGGGTCCAGTCATCAACACCTTGAAGTTTCACTTCCTCCTGCGCGCATTGGTGTAAAAGTGGTTGAATAACAAGTCCGGGAATCCTTCGGAAATGGGTCCATTACAGTACCCTGACCCATCCCAATGTTGAAATCATGAAAGGGGCGATCTGAAGGGGTTGCCAATTCGTGCACGTGGCTATTGATCAAACCCCCGTGAAAAATCAAGGTTACTAAATGGTAGTTCATCCCAGCACAATCACATGCTTTGAACTTCGAAAATTCCATATATAATTATATATAATTATATACATATATATATATATATTACCCAAAAAGAAAAGAAAGTGATTGGCCAAAAACGGGGCCGCAATGAATCATTTGCAACACCTGACCTGATGAGTGAAATGGGCACCAAAGCGGGTGCTGTGTCAAATTATACATATCTTCACATATCTTCACATATCTTCACATATCTTCACATATCTTCACATATCTTCACATATCTTCATTTTAACATGAACCATCTCCATCTCGCAAGTTTGAGCGCCGCATTGCTGTCCATTGCTGTCAGTGCTATTCACTAGCTGCCCAAAATCCCTGGGATGTGACAAGGCCCATCAGAGTCCGCTCCTGTGGTTCATCATCTTTGTCAGCCTTTTCCTTCTTCTCCTGCCGCAGAATGGCTATGAGAGGTTCCTGGGCAGACCATTTTGGTTGGAGAGGTCCTAATTTCGTCGACCCCAAATTTATGGGTCTACCTTCTCTGCATGATCAAACATAATCAGACAATATCAGACATACAGATACGTCTTCAGATGTTGAGAATCAGTTGATATGTGGCAATGGTTTGCAGTTCCCAACGTGACTGAATTGGTCCATCAACCTCTTTGAGGTCTGCCTCCGCCCGTCACCCCCATCAACACATTGCGTTGCCCAAAATGAATCGTTTCCGCTAGGCCGAGCCTTGCTCTTTTTCTTCTTTTTGGTTCCAAAGTCGAACACCTGTTCTTCCTCCGCCATGGCCCCAGTTCAATCTCTACAAAACCACGGGGCAACGCGTCTTGATCCGAAAAGAGTCGTGGCCACGTGGAAGACGCAACTTGCTCACCCTGGGAAATCACAAGTCAAGAGGGATCGTCCAAAATGATACCCACACACTACAAGTCACAAGATATCGGTGTCAAAACCTTGGTACCGTGGTCTCACGGATGTCCGCCAATGTCAGAACACCATCGCAATGTACAAGCTGTGCACCCCGAAACCATCCAGCCCTGCCTCATGTGACATCCTGGATCTTGCACTTTTTCAGGACCTGGTCTCAGGGTCAAAAATGTTTGGCCCCAGGAATGAAAAAATGAATCTAATTATCCCTAATTCCAATTTTAGACCCTTGCACTTTTGGGGTTTCGGTGTTTAGTGGCATGTTTGCGCCTGATCCCATGCTGATCCAGCCTGTTTACTCGACATCGATGCTTCGGAGTATTGGAAAGGAACAAAAAAAACTGATGGAGTTTCCGGGTTACAATCTGGTCGAAGTTAACCAAAGACTACATACATCTACATGCGTTTTAGATCGTTTTAGGATGTTTTAGGCGGATCAATAGTGGCGAAAAGGTTCCTGATTTGGGTTTGAAGAATATTTCACCAAAAGATGCCTGTGAACCCGATCTTGACGAGTTCAAACCAAGCACAACTGGAAAACTGGAAGCATGAAGATTCAATACATGAAATTTCTTCAAAATCTTCAAAATCATCCCAGGTAAGAAATTTCATGAGTCCGAAGAGAAACTCAGATCGCTGCTCTCCTTGGACGAAGTCGTTCTTCAAGTCCTGGATCTCCAAGATTCCTAAGATTCCAAAACAAATTGTAATATTCTGTGCAAACTTTCGTAATTTTAATTTGCAATGTTCTTTCGTCACCACGTTGGTTTTGTTGATTCTCTGCGAAGCACACCGGAAATAAACGTTTCGAGATCAATGTGGTGTCCGCTGCACCTCGAAGCTTGGTGAATCCCGAAGAAGAGCGTGTACCTGCGCTACTGACAGAACGCACTGCCCAACCTCTGAAGCTTAGATATATTCTATTCAATTATGTTATAACCCTACAAGGTTTTGTACCTCCACCATTCACACTTGCATGGGTGGGGGAACAGCCAACCGAACCAGCAGCATCAAGAGTTACCTGTCAAACCCCTATTCCATCTGACCATGATATGATTGTACGTGGAAAGGTGTGGTCTCTTCCACAAAAGCACTTGCTACTGCCGCTGACTAATTATGGAAAGTATATTTGAGAAGGGTGTTTGTTTCGAAACATAGATATGCGGCAAACGGTGTCGGAGTATCACTTTTGTGGCATTGAATTGGACGGAATGCCGCCTCGATTCCCCAGCCTACAAATTGCAATAATATGCAATAACGTTTTCCAGTGAAGACCATCTGGGCTCACTTTACTATGTAATCCAGCCAAGGATTTTTGAGCTCGTCCTGGCATTTTCAGGTCCAGCGCAAAACCAAACTCTGTGAAACTTTAGAAGTTTGGACCATAAAACCAATGGCAGAAGCAAAGAAACCTGGCTAAACAACCCAACGAGGATTAGCTGAAGGGCAGCGTTCTGATCTTCGCTCTGGAATATTGTATTTCCTGAGGTTCCACTTGTTGTTTCCTCCTGTGGCCATTCATAAACTGGCGCAGATGGAGGCCACTAGCACATGAACAGTTCACATTGTTCACATGTGTGCCATCTCATCTTCGCAATGGATGAACAGGTAGCCAACTATCCAGCCATGCTAAATCTCGTGTGAAATCAATCATAAGGACTATTTGATTCTTTGTAGGTCAAAATCGTGGTTGCCGAGTATCAACATTTACATGGGTGACAAAGTTGATCCCTCATATTGGGCAGAAAAGCACACGGACTCAAGCAGCCCCTGGACTCCTGGACCAAGGATGTTCCCGAGGACCTAAGTCCAAGAATGAAACTGGTGTTCTGCGGCGCGGAATTATTGAAGCCAGCCCCAACAGTATAGAGTCCCAAATCAGAGAAAAGGACTTGTCACTCTGGATGTGGGATAGCTGTGTGAGGCACAATCCCATGTCCATTGAAAAACTACCTCTCTGTATGTATCTATACATGCACCCATGCGGCAAAGGATCCAAAGCATCTTTATTGGTATGTCTCGCTTCCCTTCTCTGGAGGGCAGTACCAGCGGTGAAGAAACTCAGCCTGAAGGTTTCCGCATATATGTGTTGTTTTGGGTGGTACTTTTGCACCAAATTTCACCGAAACCCATACAATAGCGAACTCAGAAACCAATCTCTTGGATCACGTTCTGATTGAAATGGCCCACAATCATCCAGCAATGGATGACCATCCCTATCGGATCTATCGATCGCCGACGGAGAATGTCTCGGTGACAGTGAAATGGCCGTGTGCCATGGATCAAAACTCAGCCTCGCACGTTCTCGCAGGGGGCGCAGGCATGACCTGGCAGAGATGTTGGTGCCTGCGCTGCTCCAATCCCATATGGTACCCCCCCTTCTTTCACCAGAAAAGTCTGAAACCCGAATGTTTTTTCCGGGGCCTCAAATGATTGGTCGAAAGACTGCAAATGACAATTTGAAATGATTCAATGTTGGCACTGGGGAGTGTAGAATGGACATGAATACTCCCAGAACCCCATGGTAATGCCATTCACCAACAGTGGTTTTTGGACATTGCCACTATGATCTGGGTGTGGCTCTAACTTATGGACCCGTTTTGGGATTGCTAAATGCGAAACATGACCTGCCTCTTCAATTCAAAAGGTGCGCTTCATCTAGCAACTTTTGCACAGCCTGGCTCCACAACAAAAAGCAGGCAATCCTCGGTCCTCCCTTCACTGCACCCTTGTTCAGCTACGGGACATGGCCATATTCTGTCAAAATACACTTCACTTCGACATCCATCAGGTCATCCATAAAACTTTATGTGTATATATATATATATAATCATATGTAATCATATATATAATCATATATAATCATATATAATCATATATAATCATATATAATCAAATATAATCAAATATAATCAAATATAATCATATATAATCATATATAATCATATATAATCATATATAATCATATATAATCAAATATAATCATATATAATCATATATGATCATATATAATCATATATAATCAAATATAATCATATATAATCAAATATAATCAAATATAATCATATACAAACATATATAATCATATATAATCATATATAATCATATATATAATCATATATCAATCATATATAATATTATATAATCATATATAATCATATATAATCATATATATAATCATATATATAAATATATATAATCATATATATAATCATATATATATAATCATATATATAATCATATATATAATCATATATATATATAATATATAATCATATATATAATCATATATATAATCATATATATAATCATATATAATCATATATAATCATATATAATCATATATAATTATATAGAATCAAATATAATCATACATAATCATATATAATCATATATAATCATATATAATCATATATAATCATATATAATCATATACAAACATATATAATCATATATAATCATATATAATCATATATAATCATATATAATCATATATAATCATATATAGTCATATATAATCATATATAATCATATATAATCAAGTATAATCATATATAATCATATATAATCATATATAATCATATATAATCATATATAATCATATATAATCATATATAATATTATATAATCATATATAATCATATATAATCATATATAATCGTATATATAATATTATATAATCATATAAACTAAACTAGCATCAACTTCCAGCAAATGGATGAACATCCCACGCCTCTGGTGAGACCTCCTGATTGAACGGCACCTCACGGCTGCCAATTTCCAGGCTTGTTTGATGAACGTTTTGAGGCCTTCAAATATGGGGAACATGACAAATGATGATGATCAAAGAATATCAAGATATGAAGCATCATTTTTTGGAGTACTCCGGGAACTTCGTTTCAGACCCGTATTTCCCGGGGAAAGTGTGAAGTTGGACGCAAAATTACGCCATCTGGTCAAACCATTGTCGTGCGTCTGGGAAAAAGGGTGGGTGGGTGGATGTGCAGGCTCAACCTGTGCAGTTTCACTCCTTCCAGACTAGTTGCGGCTCGATCCATTTAAACATGTTTGTTTTGAGGGTTTGTCCAGAAATCAGGATACACAAAATAATAATCTCATCGTCTTAATAGGAGAACAAATGATACACCATCAAGTTTCGGGGGGTTCCCGGGTTTCCCTAAATGTTCAGACAAACTTGCCACTGGCCTCCACGGGCAAGATGATCTTTGGCAAGGCATGAGCCAAACCACTGCCTCAGTGGACTCTCAGGCGCATCTTGGGAAAATCGTCATTGAACAAATATGCCAATACGACCCAAAGTCAGGTTACCAAATGTGACCAAAACCCAAAATTGAAATCAAAATCACAACTTGGCAGTCGAAGCCGGATGTAAGTAGTCCAAAAATGGTGTACTGTAAGTGTATGTCCCATAGCGATTTTGCAAAGGAAATGATGATAAACCCTGGGATTTGGGGGACCCAATTCTCAAACAAACACATGCAAAGGCCTGACCTCTGACCACTTCTTGTGACCACCAAGGCAGTTTGATAAGGGGAAGCTGGCAGCGTTTCCCAAGTCTAAGCACCAATTGTTGCAGTTTGTGGGGACCAAACGTCGCAGGTGCGCCATTGACATCGATTGCACCAGTGGATTGGAAGGTACAGGCCTCAAGCAGTCAGCCACTGGTATGGATCAACCAGCCCCTGTCAGCCATCCCCATGTTTCCTCTGGATAACTGGGATTTGACTGCGATAAAAAACGAGCTGCAATTTGGAGATCCAATTAACTTGGGAGAAAGGGGGTCTTGGTTCAAAATCACCACCTGAGGTCCTTGCTCCTCAATCAAAGCTCCATAGCTCTTGGAAGTATGTACGACCTGGCACTGACAAAAATTCGAATCTGATATGCTGATATGCACTATCAGAGGCGCTCCGTGCCCCACTAGATACAGCTGCGCAGGTACAGGCGGTACAGGCTGTAAAGATCGCCAGGATGAATGCTTCAACATCACACTCCAATTACAGCCAGGAAAGCAACCCGATGCGATCTACTTTGGAGGTCAATGCATTGAAGGCCTTCCCAATCTGAAAGATCTGAAGGCCCTGTCGGCAGCCACCCTGCAGAAGCATGGCGCAATGCGACAAGGGTCATAAATTTCGATTCTGCCAGGCAGCCATGAATTAGGGGGTTCACCTCCACAAAAGTCACAAATGAGCATCAAAGATGTTGAAGTGGTACACCCCAAACGACAAACAGTTGAGGAGTTTGTGAATCTGGGCTTCACGGCCTTGCAAGGCTTCGCATCGCAGAAGCCAACGCCGTAATCATCCAGCTGAACGATGCAAATCCGTCCGCCTGGGGCAGAACCAGCTACAATCTAGCAGCCTCCTTGGTAACAGGCATGATCATGATTGATGCATTTTATGGGCTTATCGCATCCTTAGACTTTCCTTGATTGGTTTGTCTTTTCCTTGGATTTTATTTTCCTTTGTTTCTCCAAAGGAAACCAAAGGAAAACAAAAGAAAACGAAGGAAGCCAAAGGAAAACCATAGAATCCACACAGCCCCAAACCAAAGGAAACCGAAGGAAACCGAAAGAAACCAAATGACATCAAAGGAAATCAAAGGATACCAAAGGAAGAATGAGATAATCCAAGAAGAACTGACTTTAGCTGTAGCTAGTTCCTTTGTGTTTCTTGTTGTTTCTTTTGGTTTCCTCCCACAATTAAAAGCCATATTTTGGTGTAACCCATGCGTTGGAAGGTTGACACTGCTACCTTTTGGCCCATACCTTGGTGGAAATATGGAACACCTGTTACAGAAAACACACTTGTACTGATAGGGGAAAAAAGAAAACACAATAAAACCATAGGTTTTCAAAGGAAAGGGCAGGGCGATCAGAGGAGAACATCGGATCATCTAAGGTAGCCCTGCTGTGAAGAATGCATGTAATGCATGTTCCAGTGATGTTACTAAAGAGTTCCTATGATATAGAACCATCCAAAAAAAACATAGGTGTTTATATATCATGTGTTTAAAAAACGATCACTATGTTACTAAAGAGTTCTTATTGAAACGGCTTTACCACGTTTTGAAAAAAATGGAAACCTCGTGTCAATCAAACCAGTGGATTCAGTTGCAACTCTCACGAGCAGCCAATGGCATCCTTCACGAGCATAGCAACAAAGAAATGCTTCGAAGTGTCAAACGTTGCTGTGCAAAAAAAAACACAACCCACCCATAATATGCGAATCTAAACAAATGCGTTTCCAAAAAATGAATAACCACAAAACTCGCAAAACCATAGTTTCGCCCTTGAAAATGACCTGTTTTTGCCTGATTTGGGGTTAGGAAACAACCAAATCCTGCCTCGTGCAGCCCTCAGATAGGGAAGCCGCAGTAGTGCATCCAGTTCAGCATGGATATCCATATTCCTCTCCGCAGTGCCGCTTGTGATACAATGGTTATACTATGATGATGGATAACCATGGATATCATCCCAATATAGTGTAGCTCTCCCAATGTATGGCGGATAATCATATCTTTTGGGATGATGGATATCCACACAGTCACACAGTGGTTGTGAATGATGGTTGCTTTCAAATACAGTGCAAATGATGGATATATTGGGGTGATTTGGGATACATTTTGGGATAGATCATGCATAATTACAGGTACCCATCTGTACACCAAAACCTCATCCGTGCCCCGCAAGATCAACAGAACTTATGACTGTCGATTGTGCTTCCGTCTCTGGCAAGAACTGATTCTACTCAACTCAATAATTGTCACTTGCCTTCCAGTGGCCAGCCGAACGTTGCGATTCATTCCAACTGAAAGAACCTGCTGCTGCAGTTTGGTGTTTCCGAATCTTCAGTGTTGCCGAACAGTCAATGCTGTCAACAGCAGCCGTGACATGAACTGAAGTCTCACTCAAGTTGGTACTGTAAAATGGCACGGCCCGTGCTTTCGTGGTTCAGGAATTGTGCAAGCAAAGAGCCATCCAGGCGCCAGGTATCTGCCACTGTGAAGCATCAAGGTATTGGTCCAACACTGAGCAGTGTTGTGTTCAAACCCCTGTGTGGGATCCCTTTATACTGAATGGTGCTTTGTTTGGATTTCCGCATGGATTGTGATCATCCCCAAGAAAAATTGGCTATTATAATTGTATAATCATTATAATCGTTATATACCAAGATATATCATCATTGGGTCAGAATCAGGGACTCAGTCAACCATAGATTCCAACTGCGCCTGGCCCTCGCTATCTTGAAGCACCGCGCCGTGCCGCCCTGTGCTGACACAGCCGGGCGCTGCAGCACACTGCGCGGCTAACTGCACCTTTTTTTCCACACACAAAGGCGAGGAGATCTACAAAGATGTTGATACTGTGCATGGAAGACATCCTGCACCAGTTGGTAAATGGGTTATCCCATTACAATCCCATTATTTGCCGTGTTTCATAGCAACTGGTGCAGGATTTCTTCCATCCACAGTATAATTGTACAATGGGATCATAATTAATGAATTGTTTTCTTATCAAATTCGGATATGGGTCAACATTGGAAGCCCCGCACACTTGGATGACTAAATGGTCTAGAATTTTGACCGTGTCCATTTCACTTGGAAAAGTGTGTATGCAAGTCATTGGAGACGCCTCAAAATTGGATGGCCAACATCTATGGCTGTCATTTGAAAACGACACGAGCGAATGGCATGAACAACACAGCTTGGACAGCTCCGTCTTCCAAGAACTCCAGCAGAGGGGGGTTGAGGACATAAGCACTTGAACAGGCAGGGTTGGCAAAATGCATTTAATCTTGGACTTCCGCCTTTACAGCATTCTTCATCCACCCCCTTGTCTGAAGTTTCCAGAGACATCTGAGACCATCACAAGGGGAACTTCAGGATTCAACCTTAGCACTTTGTGAATGTGATCAGAGTAGGATGTCACCCTGTTTGGATCCACTCAAATCACCCAATCATTCGCAAAACTGGTAGGGCCGGCACCTCTCGCTGTCAGCGAGCAAACACCGAGCGAAGGTCAAGAGATCTGGCCTGCACTTCAAGTTGGCTGTGAGTAATTGTTGTCTCAAAACTTGGAACCCCGAATTCCGTGATGTAGAACCTCGTTTTGCCTGTTTTTATTGTATAAAATTCCAATCAATTGGGGGCACAGACCCTATTTTGAGATAAACCCAGTTCTGGTTAAAGGTCGAAGCAAGACCCCCAATGATGATCAGGAAACTATCAAAAGAAGAGCCTAGACAAGCAAAACTGAATCTACATTGGATTGCAAGGTTGCAATGCTTCGGTAATGAAAAAAATGCAAGCATCCATCCCTGGACAAAATGTGGTTTTTGCACTGAACTCGTCATCACCCCTGTCAGCGCTCAGCTGCGTACTGCAAGCTCGTACCCAAACAGCCGGGTACGAAGTTCATGGCCTTGAAACAGCTTGGCAGCTTGGGATCATGAATCCTGACACCTGACCATACCGGACGCCGCAAATACTTCAAGTGGCGCCGGAGATCATGATCCGAGCTCTTCACCTTCACCAACTTCCGCGCAGCGGGAAGGAAGGCTGCACCCGCCAGGCTACAGCCGGCCAGCCTTGAACTGGGAAGTGGGAAGGCGATTGCTGTTGGGCGGGATGTTCATGGATGCTGCTGCTTGATGCTTCTGGTTTCCTGGATTTTCACTAGCAACTCAAATGACCAGCCCCCGAAACTAAGTAATTCACCGGCAAACTGGGGATTGACCCCAAAAAACGAGGGTTTAAGCAAGGCTTGAACCACAAGGATAGAATGGGACCAACAATGAGTTGGGATATTCTTGGCTGATAGCTGTACCACTGACATAGTACAATAGTGTAAGCAATGACAGGTACTCCTTGTAGTTGCACCAATGACATTAGCCCTATATATATATATTTATATTTGGCTCTAAGAAAATCATCCCGCCAACTGTTGGTAAGTTGGATGAGGGTCCACGTGATCTAAGGAGGACAGATGGTGTTTGTGTGTCCACTTGAAAGCCTAGAGGTCAAACCATTCTGATCTTCGAAAGCAAAACAAACAAATCACAAACAACAAGTTGCACTTTTTCTCAGCAGAGTGTTGTACCCAAATCTTCCCCACTGTCTCCAAGGAGCAGCTGCGCCAAAGCATATCCTCCAGGCCACCCCAATCGCTCCAATCCTTGCCGTTTCGCCTGTCGGATGAACCTATGGGTTTTCTGAAGAGTTGCCAGCGGTAAATCAGCCAAGATTGTGGCACGGAACAAACCACACGGGCTCAAAGTCAGGGTCAACATCGGAATGCAGTATACAATGGTGGAACATTCTCTTTGATCCCAAACCGGCAACCCTTGCAAAACGACTCCCAGGCAGAAGAGTTCTCATGGCACGAAGCTTTCGAAAGGCAATATGTGGAGGGTCAAAACGTTCCAGTGTCGTTCGATCTAAGTTCTCATCTTCTGCTTGGTTGGTCTTAAAGCATACAGTTTCGGGGAGCCAAATAATGTTGACCATATGATATGATATGTCTCTTATCTTAGGGGAAGCCATTCCTACGTTCCAGCAAGATCAGGTTCGGCCCAACCTGGTCCAAAATGCCAAGTCCGAGTCTGGCGCGAGGCAATCACCAAAAAGTCATGTGGACCCAACGCAATAAACCTCCAATTGCAAATTGCAAATGTGTTCAAAGGCAACTTTATTTGTGGCAAAACTGGGTAGGTTTATTTATGAGTTTGCCAAATGATTTGAAACTTGAAACCAGTGCCACTTTGATTCATGCAATGTGTGTGTGTCTCACCGAACAGCGCCCTCTTGTGCAGCACAGTGGTTGTGGCAAACGTGTGTCGATGTTTGTGGCAAAAACACGGCATCGGAACTGAAGGTCCCAGGTGAGGGCTTCACAAATGCAAACTCCAATTGACGCGTCTGAGACAAGAAACGAAGGGAGTTTCTGTATTGAAGCTCTTCATTTGTCACCGATCTCGGCAGAGGCTTTTTTTTTGCATACAAGTACATTGCTGTCGTGATCCTGGTCTTGGGATGTCTTGGGAACGCCATCCCCCAGCAAGCTCTTGTTCGAGTTATGCTTGGAAGCCTGTATCCAAGGTTTCCTAACGAAAGAAAATGACCCAGACCTCTGCCAACACACTCCGTTGAGTATGCTGCTAGGAAATCCGAGACATCAGCGTCACCGCACTGCCTTGAGTGGGATTTACGCAAAAATCATCCTAGGTTGTCCTACTCACAAGGCCATCCCAGTCAAAACCGCTGCTGCTGCGCATCCAATCATCTTGCCAGCCGCACCACTGGTAGTTGTGTTTGTGCAAACAGGAGTTTGGGACCACGCGAGGGTGTCAGGAGTCGCGTTGTTGCTTTCAGCGTAAGTGACATCGTTGATGCACGCTCCCTCTGGAGGAACAAAGTTCTGCTCCCCTCCATCTCCATCAGAGCACTTGATGGAGATAGTGGTCACGTCGCAAGTCATGCCATCATCAGGCACCACCGTGCAATCGTAGTCTGCCGCAACAGAACCCATAGCTCCACCCCGAGTGTTGCCCTCCTGACAGCTGAAGCCACCACCTTCTGTGATGTTCATATGCCACCCCCATGCAGCACGGCTGGGTGCAAGGCCAGAGAAAATCTGGACTGCCACAGCGCCCAATCCTGCTGCAAGTGCTTTTGACATCATGGCGGCTTTCAGTCAAAAGGGAGTGTGGTGAGCGAGTCAGATATCACAGCGAACAAGTCTTGAGATCACAGTGGTTGTTGCAAACACATCGCAACACATGGCAATGGGATGCAATGGGTGTGACAAAAAAATGCATGGGATACACAGTATTGGTCTGTCGGTCTGTCTGAAAATAAGGTATTTCCAGTTCCATGATGAGGCCTAAATCATGCAGTTGAGACACACCAAAAATCAGTCAAGAGTTCAGTGAAAACCATAGATGGCTGCCTCACTCGCTGCCCTGGATTTCTACAGGACCTTGGAAACAGAATGCATGGCAGCCCCGGTTTTTTGCAACCTTGCACCCGTAAGGTTTCTGTGTCTACAGTGTTCTTTTGCCGTGGTTCGGAACAATCCTGTTTTGGTCACTTTCAGGTTCAACCTTGAAAAAAATGTGTGTGTGGCTCTCAATTTTAAACTGACCAGACAAAACCAGCAAGACTCAATTCTTCAAAGTCTCGGAATCAAACAAGGCAACCTCATGCACAGCCTTCACCAAAGGTAGCCTGCAGACCGACTGGTGACGGGCAACACTGAAATGGCGAAAAGTGCCATGGGCGAAAAACACAAAAATTGCTATATATCAAATAATTCAAATAATAGGAAAACTGATGCTACACCATGAAAATGTGGGGTACTCCATGTTTGGAAAAACCCAAATCCCAACCTCGTTGAACTGTGCGAGAGTGTGCAAAGTTTCGCCGCCTTGTCTCAAAAGGCTAAATCAGCCGAAAAATGCATTTCAGGGACATTGGCACAATACACATATACTTGATTCTACCTAATCATGGCTGGATATGTTTCGCGGTATGGGCTCTCTCTTGTCTTTATAGGCTTCTCCCCCTCTCGAAACTTCCGTTACCCGGTTTGCCCGGGCTCTGCTTGTATGAGCGGTGAACGTTATCCCATCTCTCCTCCCCACCCAATATGTACCATAACATACGAATGTGATGAACAACCTCCTCTCGGACATTCGTCTCAAATTCACGCGAACGTGTGAGACCGGTGCACACGCGGACGAGTGTTTCGTGAGCATGTGGACCGTTACAGAAAACTATATAATTAAATGCAGGCACCCGCATCGATGAAAGCCGCGGGGAAAAAGCAAATTGGGCGGAGAGATCCTGATCGAAATGCAAGTGGACACGCCCGTTGAAACCAGGACAATCAAAACGCGCACCAAACGCACGACTTGACCTTGGACAGACGCTGGGACCAAGGGACCACAATGCCTGACCGTAGGATAGCATCAAAAGTACGCTAAGCAAAAAAACTCAAAAAACACCAGCGCGGGCCAGCACACACACAACACGCCGAGTTGGCAACTCGGCCTCCCCCTCTACCCTCTGGTTGGTCGAGGGTTTCTAGTAGTGGATTAGTCCCTGATCCAAATGGAACTGCTCAGTATAACCAGTGTAACCCCAGCCATCTAAATTGTAAAACATGTTTCGGGTTCGCTGTTTAACATCTCCACTGCTCATGGTTAAGTGACTCACCGGGATGATTCTAAGGGAAAATCTACCGGAAACCATAGGTTTTACCATTCAGAATGATTGTTTCCTGCAAATGTCCCTTTAAATCATGCCAAAGATTTTATCATCCTTCCCCATCAACAATGGGGATTTCAAGGCATCATCAGCAACCTTGGAAGCCTTGGCTTCCAGCTTCAGCGGCTGCGCCTTCCTTGGCCTGAACCATGGCTTCAATTTCTCTCGCCACCAAAGAGACTTCCACACTCCCACCTGCCACGGCCTCCAAGTTCAAAACCGAAGAAACCAGTTGAGAAAGTTTGGGCAAGTCGACCTAGTCCACAGATGTCCACAGCGGCCAGCACAAAACAAAAAATAGCAACCTGACCAGATGGAAAAATAGCCCTCCCATGAAGCAGCCTGTGTTGCCCATAAAATAAGCACTAGCAGTCAGCACACAGCGACCACCTTCGAACCTTTCAAACTGTAGTATTGGAAACCCAAACTGAATCTACAATCATATGATCATGTGAAGCCCATTGGATATTGTTTGGCACATGGGGGGGATCTGTGGATGTGTCTTCTGGGTTTTCCACAAAAATCTCGACTCTGGCCCCGGCCAGGTCAATAGACTGCGGCGGAAGTGCCCCAACGATCGCCGCCACCTGCCACGTGGCCATTGCTACCTTGACCATCCTTTTGACCAATAAAGGCCAGCACGCCTCCCGCAGCAAGTTCTGCAAGCACGCTTGGTCTGAGGAGACCTTTGCGCAAATGTCATGCTGGCCGGTAGCGGGACTTGCCTTTTTAGGTGTTGTTTTTGGTCCGAGTCCAACTCTCCCCAGTTTCAATCAATAAATGTTGGGCCTCAGTGGTTTCAACTGTCCAAAAGTGTGACGGGATTCATTATATCATAATCCATACTATGGTCACAATATGTCACAATCTTGTTTGCATGCATTCGTAGCATCCTTCTCTGTGAAGCACACTGAGATATGCTGAACCCTTTTTCATCTGGCACAATATCGTGTTCGCAAAACATGCAAAACCACGGTCTACATCCTGAATCTGTGATCAGTCCAAGCTGCTGACTCCGCAAGCAAATGCCACCAGGTTTAGCCTCAATGAAGGATGCTTCATTAGCACCCAGTGAATGACGAATGACGCTCTTCTTAGCTAGAAATGTGGTGAGGAGTTTGTGTTCATTTTGGAGTACGCTTGTGTCTGCTGCTTGTATCAATCAGTCAATCCTCGGCATGGTGGTGTTTCATTCATAATTCATAAATTGACTCAGTCAATGAATGAATGAATGAATGAATGAATGACTGAATGAATGAATGAATAAATGAATGAATGAATCCATGTGTCAATCCATCACACATCCGCATTCCTACATGTTTTCTCTTTCTACGAGTCTTTCATCCTTTGAAATTCCACTTCACCCCCCCCCACTGGTTGGTCCTGGCTTCACAGAGGGGCTTTATGCGAGTCATATCCAAAACGTAAGCTTCGCGTCACAGATCAAAAACATAAGGAAGCATTCGCGAAGCATCATGAAGCTAGGTTTGGGCAGCTCCTCATGAGCCCAGTCCCGAGTACGATACCCCTCTACAATGTCGTCGTGAAGCAGATCCTGGAACAAGACATTTGCAGTAAATGACACTGTGTCGCTGAAGTACAGTACATAAAGGACAATCGATGACAATCGGTTTCCATGGTGCTGTTGATACAAGCAGTTGAAGGAAATTTGTGTGAAGCATGATGCTGCCAAGCAATTTTAGAAGCATCTAGGACACTAGCTGATGGCCAGGGAGTCCATTTTTCCTATATGTAGCATGTCAGGTCTCATGTTGGAAAGCTGTCATTTTAAGCTGTGTCCTTAGGTAGATATTTGTTCCTTTCAGGCCAAAAACCACTGACTCATCACCCAGATCATCCAAGAAAACGCGTAAAGCAAAAAGCTATTGGACACGATTTTCCAATCAATGGATTTGAACAAAGCAATACAGACCCGAATTTCGTCCAAGACACAATCATCCATCGGGAAACTTAAAAAAGCACAAAAAAAAGTATTTAATATTATTTTATAGATTTTTATCTTTCCCATCTTTTCCCACCTTTCCAATATCCTCCCACCTTTTCCCATCGTTCCAATCCCTTTTCCATCCCACCATCCACCTCTCGCGCGGCTTCCAGCAGCTTTTGAGCCGCCAAAGATCCGGCGCCCTGCTGCAGGAGCCGTCGAACCTGTCGGGAAATCATCGAAATCTCGATTTTTAACCACCCAAAAAGATCCTCGTACCTGGTAGCTGGTGTTTACCACCAAAAACATGATAAAAACATGACTCTGTTTCTGATATTTGAAGAGTTGGATTCAACCAGATATTTGAATATTTGCTCAAAGAGGAGGTCGGATATTTACCAATCAAAGCTATTTAAGCTATCTAAGCGCCAAAAATTGGAAGTTACACACCAGAAAATGATGATAGGCATTGAATCGGTTCAAGGAAAAATTTGAAATATACTCATGGTTCTTTTATGAACCATCTCATGGGGCACCATTTGCTTCACTTCAACCCCAGGTAAATATTATCGTGGGGTAGCGGTAAAGGGCAGCTTTATTGAAAAAGGAAAATATACAAAATGTCAAAAGAAAGAAAGATGATAAACTGAAAACTATTGCGGAGTTCTCTCAGAAAACTATATAATCACTAGTATAATATACAGGCATATTACAGCATATTCAGTATATGGCGTAGTTGTTGGTTGGTTTCTGTGGTAGACCCCAAATCAGTGTTCAATCATTCAGCAGACATGCGTCGTAACCTGGTATGCACCATCCCCAATTCAACGTTTATTATTGTAGTTATACACTACACTGTCAAATCTTCTCACCCCTTTTTTGGTAAAACAATATGCCAGCCCGTTAGCGGAAACTCAGCTACAAGAATCCATCATTTCGACCAGTGACAAAGGGACATTTATGGATCCAGAACTTGGGCGAATCCAACATCAATGTGATGTTAAGAACTGGTTGGGTTAAATCAGTTAAATCTTTACGTTCGATTCATTTCAAGTATTTAAAGAATTTTAAAGATCTATTTTGTACGCAAACATGGATCCAAACACCATTTTTGAACATTCATCATCTACAGTCATGGAACCATCCTGTCTTTATCCAAGATAAACTGCGTGCAATTCATTGCAAGCTCAGCTGCATGCTGGACTGGAGGATGTCAACTATCCATTCCCCCTCAGATTCAATTTCCACACAGGCCCGAAAAATGAATAGATCCAACATGATCCCATACTAAACCAGGGAAAATAGCTATGGCATCCACTCCAATGCTCTCCTCTGCCGCCATGCCACTTCCTGGCATCGAGGGCCCTCCTTCTGCAGAGGTGATTTGGGAACCTGGGAGCGAAACTGCCAACTGCTGCACCAACAATGATAAGCCGATCAGCCCTGCAGTCAGTGAGCCTTTCAATTATTCCCTACATGAAGTCATAGGTTATATCATGTTATAAATTATAAATGTAATATAAATGTTATATGTTATATCCCTGCTGTGGGTCTTTGCATCCACAAAGCAATTGGAGCAGTGACATTGTCTCACGTTGTCTGGGTCGAAGGCTAACCACTTCGCAGGCAAAACTGCAACTCCTGGGAAAGCAGCACCAGCGGACCGGTCAAAGTCAAACGGATGGACTCAACTCAGCTAACCCGGCCTGGATCCAATAGAGCTACCAAGCCACACACAGGAAGGCATAGGAAGAAGGACAGACCTTGGCTTGGATCGTCTCTGGTTTTCTGGCTGTGAATCCTCCCTCCTCCACCGGAACTTAGACAGAGGCCACACACAGCTTTGGCGAAACTTGCTAGGGTATTCAATTTAACCGCCAACTGCAATGTTCAAGGGCAACCACCACAAGAAAGACAAGACACGTTTTTCAGGTGGCACGAACCCCAAGTGGCGTGAAACTCCTTTGGGTATCCTGAGGTGGCTGGGAAATGCATTTTTTTTTGCCTGCCAACATGCGGGTTTCATTTCCCCGTTTTTAAACCAACCCATATCCCAGTCCTGGTGGGTTGTACCATGCTAGATCGCCATCACTCGGATTCGGACGCATCTCGGCCTCCAGGCCTGGTCCGACGGAGCTGGGGATCCAACAAAGCCACAGGCCTAAAATTTATGTAGAACCACTGTCCCATGCGACTTCCCACAGAATTTTTTGCAGCCATTTTGCAGCCATTTTGCAGCCATTTTGCAGCCATTCTTGGCCCAAGGTTTGGCCAATTCTCCAACACTTGGCCCCTGGGTCACTTCTTTGCGGATACTGGGAGACAGCTGGGCAGGGTTATTCCCTTTTGGCAGTGGCCGCAGGACCGCGACCAGAATGGTGGTGCAACGACAACACCAAGAGCTTTGAAGGGAACGTCCAGAGATCGAGTCCCACCAGCTGCAGTTTGAACTGGAGTTGAAGGCACTTGTGGAAGGAGACCTACGACATTCCAGTTGGGCTCAAAAGCACAGTCACCTTGAAACACTGCATCTAGAACTTCAGTGGATTGCGCCAGCTTCAAGGAGTGCACTCAGTGTTGCAGCGACATCTGACTTCGATATCTTCGATGATTGCCGAGAAGAAGTCGGCCTCAACATAGCGTCATGATGACAATGGTGTTGGTGTCTATGCGCGACATGTCTATAGAATCTATATTTGATAAACACGGATGCTGTAATCATATATATCATAATATTGCACATACAAATATGACTGAAACCAGGTGCAGTGTTATGTTCAACTTGTCCATTCGATCAAGTTTCCCATGTTTCCATTAAGGCCAGCGTCTCTGCGAAAGATTTCTTTGCCAGGAGCGCAGCCAGGGGAGTAGCACCGGTCTCGTCGACATGGTTCACATCTGCTCCTAGCAGTTCTCAAGCACTACAGGTTTGGGATAGCAAAGAATGCCCTGTTCAATTTTTTATGACCCTAAAAGACATAGCGAGAATGCTACAGTATCAATAGTATCTTAATCTTGCAATCATTCTTGCGCAGAGTAAAGACGGGTCCCATCTCCAAGCTCTTCTCTGCAAAGCGCACCAACTCAGCGGAAGTCTCGTTTTGGGGAATGGTGTATTGTGTTTTGCCATGAGAAAGGAACAAACAACTACAAACAAATGAATTAATCAAGGCAAGATTCTGGCTTCGATCAAGACCCTTACCACTTCATCAAAGCCACGACTAGCTGCAGCATGCATCGCCGAAGCTTCAGAGTCACATTTCGCCCCCCAGTTGGCCCCTGCAGCCAGCAGGGTGCTGGCTATATCGGGATGACCCAGCTGGGCTGCTGCCAACAGTGGCGTCATCCCATCCTGGTCGGATGGATCCACTGGCGCAAGATGCTCCAGCAGCAGACGCACAATCTCCAGACGCCCAGCTTCCACCGCAGCATGCAAAGGGGTGGTGCCCTTCAAATCAGCCTCTTGAGGGGCACCACGAGCCATAAGGAGAAGCCTCAGAGATGCGTAGCAAAATCGCCCTTGTGAAATCGTCTCTTTCATCATAAGAAAGCAGAACTACCTTTGTAAAAATGAGGGCAAGGAGGTGGGGAAAAAAATATCTGGCAGGAGCTGAGTGTCCGAACCGCTTTCAAGTTATTCCCACTCCGTCTCACTTGGTACTGCTTGGGGGAGCCGCTGGGTCCTGGTCCTGCTCCCTGGGACATGGTGAGCAGCCAGGGCTTAGCAGCTGCGGCAGCACACAAAGGGGTGACCCCATGGGCATCAGGCTGCTGATCTGCCTTGGCATCCAGCAAAGTCCGCAACACTTCACCTGGGAAGACCACAGCTTTGCCGATGTCATCCCGGGAGCGGGAATTCCCAAGTGAAATGAAACTCGGTTCAAGCATCAACCACCTTGGATCAAGTAGGCATGCCACGCCTGGCCCTCTTTTTACTGGGTTCAGTTCGAGTTCGAGTTACAGGCAACTCAATGTTCCTAAAAACATACACTATGCAGGAAAATATAGGTACGCTATTGAGTACTGTAATTACTGGTTATTCATGCTGGTCCTCCTTTGAAAGACTCTTAGCCGCCGCTACCGCGTCACACTGCCCATTCCGGGCGGCAACATGTAGAGCAGTTGCACCCTGCTGGTTGCTCTGACTCATCTTCGCAGATCTCTGCAATAAAGTACGAACCAGTTCATGCCTGTCGTGGCCTGGGATGTGTCACTCTGCTTCTTCAACCCCCTTCACAAATCGGAAAGTCATCGAAAATTATCATCTCATGCCACATGGACATTTAAAATTGAAGCTGTCAAACAGCAATGCTTCTGCGCGTGTCGAATTCTGGCATTCTGAACCCTTCGAATTTCATACTGGCACTTCTCTTTGAGGTTTTGGCACCCAAAAAAAATTGGGATCATGGTTTGAAATCGAAATTTCCACACTTTTTGCCATGACTTTGGGGTCGCGCCTGCAGCAACATGGAGCACGCCAGACCCATCGTGCCCCGGCAGGTCCACTGTGGCGCCGGCATTCACCAAGATCTCCACAGCCTCTAAGAAACCTCCAGGAGGTGATGGTGGCCTTAAATCTGAAAACTATGGGGGAATCAATGTGGAAAAGGGATGATTTTGTCATTGTTGTGTGTTAACCAGACATTTTTTTCAGGGCTCCACCTGCAGCCACCGCTGCTCGCAGGGGAGTCCCACCGTCTCGGTCCGCAGAATCTGGATCGGCGGCAGCGGTGGCAAGCGCTTGAACCTTGTGGAGGATCCCCATGGATCCTCAAGTCACCAATGGGTGTCAATACTAAGTCATGGTCTAGTCCGACTTGGATGATGTGGGGGACCCCAAGTTTAGGAAACCACCATACGTAGTTATTATGTCAAGAACCTGTTCATGGCAAACAACCCAAAAAGAAAATAAGAAACAAGCAAAGTATAGCAAACAAAATGATGTAAAACTTGTGCCTATTGCATGCTCGCAACCATAGCAACGCAACCGGTACTCACTGCCTCAAAAAGAGGCGTTCTCCCCAACTTGTTGCGGGCATCCACGTTGGATCGCAAATTCAGCAACAGCCTCAAACTATTCGCCCGAGCAGTCATTTGGGATGATACTGAGTAGATTCTACAGTATATAAATTGTCCTGCAGCACAACCTCCTAGCACGGAGCTATCACGAATAATTACACCTCCATTTATTCTGCCAATAAGCATGGCTACAAAATGTAGCACCAATGGGCCCAACAAGTCTTTCAGCGTCAAACCATCCAACTTTGAGACTCAACCACTCTTGAGCATGGCTAGCAAAAATCACGCAGCCCAATTGGGAACGTTTAATCACCAAACATCCACAGCTTGTCGTCATACACATCTCATTAACTTCAACCTCATCTGGGCAAATTAGACGTGTTCCCAAACTGCAACATATACCCTCTGGTAATTTAACGTAGCTATGGAAAATCACCATTTTTAATGGGAAAATCCACTATTAATGGCCATTTTCAATAGCTACGTTAAATTACCAGAGGGTACCACTAAAATCCGTTGAAATTGGAATTTGGTGATTGGATTCCCAAATTGTTCATTCCCAGCATCCAGCCAGTCCAGCCAGTCATCCCCCCGCCTCACAGTTTCGAGCCTCGCATCCCTCACCGCGCAGTGCAGCGCTGTGCGCCCAGCCAGATCCTCCGCGTCGACATCGGCACCGGCACCATAGAGGGCCACCATGATCTCGGGCTGTCCCAGGATGCTGGCCTCGAAACTAGTGATACAGCCGCAGGTAAAACCATGGTAAGCCAACGTGGAAACCAATGGAAATGAGAAATCCTCCAGCTCTACAATTAGTTTCCATCTATATGTGTATTGTATTTATAAATGAAGTCGATTCTCCAAATGGTGGATTATATAACCAATGGGAAAACAAAAAATCACCTTCAGCAAATCCAAGAGATTAAGAAGGTTGGTTTTCCAGTCAGCAATGATCAGGGTACCAGGACTTTGGGAAAAAAAAACAGCGGCTAGAGCTGAGTCGGTCTGAATCTTTGTTGGGGACGGTCCGGGACGGTCATCCTAAACCAAGTGGAATAGAGCCAGCCCAGCCAGCCTTCATGAATGCAGAAACATGATCTCTGCTCCGCGCGTTGGGATCTTGCAATCCTTGGGACACAGAAATTCTGTTACCCCAACATAAACATAACAAACATAACAAACATAACATGTCCACTCAAGAAAACAACAAAAAGATTTTGTCTCTGCATTCTTTCACCTACCAGGACTCCAGCATCCAACCATACCAAATTCGATCAGAAAATCAGAGTCAATCCCTCAAATCCAGAATCAATAATGCTCCAACTAGCTAACTAGCCCATAAAACATGCTTAAAAGTTGGTTACCAAAAATCATAGCACTTCCGAAGCGTAGTTCCACCGCGCTCGTGAGCTGGGTCCATGTTAAGTATTGAACCATCCAACTGTTTTCGTGCCAATATTGTTGACCTATCAACCTATTTTTTCTGGTTCACTTCACATGTTTGTTGGTTATACATATATATATATATTAATATTTTTCTTATTATTACGATTATGATTATTATGTGTATATATATATATATATTATTATTACTATTATTATTATTGTTTATTATTATTATTAATATATTATAATTTATAATATATATTACAATAATATAATATAATATAATATGATATGATATAATATAATATGATATTATATATATGGTGTATATATAATATATATAATATAATATAATATATATATGGTATATATAATATAATATTATATATATATATTATATTATATATATATTATTATTATTATTATTATTATTATTATTATTATTATTATTATTATTATTATTATTATTATTATTATTATATATATTATTATTATTATATATATTATTATTATTATTATTATTATTATTATTATTTATTATTATTATATATATATGTATATATTATTATATATATATTATATATTATACGTATATAATCTCATACGTTGATATCAAAACAAGGCAGATATTCCCCCTGTTTTTGCAGGTCAAGCACCATAGTCCCACCGTCAGATTCCAAGTTTCGTCCCAGGACTTGGTTTACTTGGTCCAAGTCTTGGCCACTCACCGCCTCCAACAACTCGTCTTTGAAGTCGTTGCAGAAAGGCAGAACCACCAACTGGCCGTCGGGGAAGCATCACTTGCCGTCCCAGAATGTCCCATAGACGTTTTTTGATTGAGATAAATTTGGAAGCTTCCAGTACCCCTTGACTTTTGAAAAATAAGCACTGGGAAAAGAACCACGATCTTGAAGATCGCCACAACATCATAGAGACAGGAAAATCGCGACAAATCGAGGAAGATAAATCACAGAAAAATGAAGATTGCACCGACAAAGGGTGATACAAAGAATGGAAACTGGGGCCCCGGGGCATTGCCAAAATCATTAAATGTGGTCGGTGTGGTGAACATGGTCTTATGGCCAAACACCTCCAGCCCCACTGAGCTCCCACGCCTGCAACTCTCTCGGTTCTCCAAGTTCATGCCATGTGTCCCAAATATCCAGGACACGGCCACTTAGGGAGAACCTCCCAGGGAACCAAGGGAACCAAGGGAACCTTTCCGCGCTGGCTCAGCAAACAGCAAGTCCCAAGATTGCCAAGCGGCAGGGACACAAAGAAATTGAAGGAGAAATTGAAGAATTGGGTTGACTTTCATGAAAATATCTTTTGTTTCCAGAACCACCATCAAAAATCCAAAATTGAGCTTCACAGCATTCCCACACCGATACGACATAAAGCCAGCACCTGAGTCGAGACACGTCCACCCGCATTTTCGCAGCCGCACGGGGAGCTAACAGGGCGACCAGGCCCACTGAAGCAGTACAACTCTCGGCCACTTCCATCTGCAGCTCTTCCAAGATGAAAATGGTTCAACATCCAACCAGAAATGCTCCTCTATAAAATCAGTATATTGATATTGATATAGATATAGAGGTGTGTGTATATATATAATATCTAATATGTATATTCGATATTATTTTATTCATAAATGTCTCCATGTGTCTCCTGCAAAGCTTCTAGAAACACAGGCAACATCGTTTTTGCCGCACTGGCATAGTCATCTCCTTGGCACGTTCTGGTTTTGAACACGTTCGAGAGCCTTGGAGTTGAGCCGTTCTGAGCCGCGCCTCTTCCACCACTGTCCCCGACAAAGCGATGATTTTCACCCGCGAAGGTTGGTCCATCTGTTCAGTTTCATCGTGGTCCTCTGATTCAGCATCAACACGCTGCTCGTTTGCGTCCATCATGCACACAGATCAACACATTGAGGGCAAATTGCCAAGACCCCATGGCCAGATTCATGAAACATCATGAAACTATGTTCCAGGCAGAGACAAACATCCTAATATTTCTACCCTTCATCTTCTTTCGGAGCTTCATTCAACCAAGTCTTGCTGCCGCTTGAGAAAGCAGTCCTAGTGCTGAAATCTGAAGTTGATGCTAGGACGGCTGCATAGCGGAATGCCGCGCTTTGAACTTTGAACCATGGGTTTCTAACCGTGTGTTGCTGGCAACATCGATATTTTTCTTGATATAGGAAGATTACAAAATCCTGATCATGTATGATCATGTTTGGAGGTTAAGGGAACAATGATCTATGAAATGTATCTTACATCAAAGCAACACAAATTTGGCCAGGCCTGGGTCACCAAGCCCTACTGGAGCACCTGGGCATGCGTTGAAAGTGGAGATATTCCCCATAGCCACGTTGGCGGTGCAATATGATGATTGACCAGTAGATTGTATACCATACTAAAGCCCCATTTGTGGACAAACCCTGTTCGCGAAAAAATCACCTCCGAATCGAGATTCGCACATTCCCGTGCAGAAAAATAGGTCAATTCATGTCAATTCCATTGTTTTCCAAGAACAAACCAAGCCATCCACATCCGCAGGCATCCGCAGGCATCCGCAGGCATCCGCAGCAGGCCTTGAGCCAAGGGCTGCGGAGGCGTGAGCAGTTGGCCGAAGCAGTGTCACTTCAAAATGGGGTTTGGCCAGGATTCTAGTGGTTTGATTCGAATGTAGATTGTGAATTCCCCCATTAAAAAAAATTAAACTTTCCGGAGAAACCCATGGTTTATTAGGGGAGGATGAACCCACATCTTTTGAGACCATTTATTGGGTGTTTGATATGATGCGGATGGTCTTTTTCTTAATTAATATATCCTCTACAATTGCAATGAAATCCGGATGCTCATGAACGCACTTTTGGACAACTGTCCAACATCTTGAAGGGAAACTGGTGAAAGGTGGCTCACCCCAAAACTTGATGTTGGCCATTCCACTCTACAGAGACGTGGCATCATTGATGCGACTGCACACATCCGCTACTGTGGTGGGAGAATTTGTGCCTCTCAGGCCTGTGTGAGCACAAACGGACCAAGAAAGGAAGACTGTGACCAACTCCAGCGTCTGCAGTGTCATGGTTTGATTCACAAAAAAGTGATGCTAGGTAACTATGAAACACTGGGATTACAATGAGATTATAATCGGATAAACCATCCACAGATATCCACAGTAGATCTGATGAATTTCAGGGTCTTTTTATCTATACCCTTTGAGGCACCTTGCCAGACTCTGCTTTTGCCGAAGCCAATCTATTCGCTGCGTGTCCGCTTGACGCCACCCGCATCGCCTGCGAGGCACTTCATGATCTTCATGTGATTGGGCACCTTCTCAACAACCCATTTGAAAGAAAATGGCTTGATATTGTTAAGAACGAATGAGAACGATCTCTCCAAATGCCTGTAGTTACTATTAGTGACTATAGTCGATCATCCAGTTGCATCCTGCATCCAGTTTCGGGTCCCAGACCTTGAAACTCCACAGCATCCACTAACTTCGGAGGCAAAGGTCGCGCCCCTTGCAGTGCAAAGGAGCCAGCACCATGGGGTGTTGCCATCTGAGGGCGCCTCAGCCAGTCCCAAGCAGAAGACCAAGGGAAACCTGGTGTGTCATGATTGGCTCTGCTTAGATACCCTGAAAATGAATATGTATATATATATTACATATAATATTATATATATTACATATATTATATATAATATATGTATTATATATATATTATATATATATAAACTGTATCTAGTCTAGCTGAACGGTATCTTCTTCCATGTGTTCAAAATGTTCAAGCACCCAAACAAAGAAAGCTTCACAAAATGCAAGTTACAAAGTGAAGCAAGTTGAAACCAAAGGCACTCATCCTCAGCAAAGCCCAATCCACTCGTGGTTCTCGAAGCCCATGCACTGAACTGATACAGAACCTGACGCTGATGGGAGGGATTGGGGCCTAAGGTTACGATGGTTTAGTAACCCAACTGAAGTTCTCTTCAAAATCTCTCGGGTAATCGGATCATATCGAATAATGGGTTGTGGGGAAATTTGATCCAAAATCCAGACATTTCTCCCGTCCAAGCCTCCCAGGGTGTTGAAAAAATGTCAGCCAAGGCACCACACTGCAGGCACAGGCCACGTTCAAAGAGCCCACCCCACCACCAAACTGAGGGATGTAGACGAAGCCTCAGCTGGAAACTCCCCTGCAATCTATGGAATCTCTTCCGGGCACCCAATTTTTGAGCATGAGAACATCAAAAAAACTCATCACCAGACTAGAAACCGTTCGATGGTTCGATCACTGCTTCGCAAGTTTACAACCACAGTCTTGCAAGGCTGCAAGATGAAGGAATTTCTGAGAGACTATTCTGCGCAAGTGGCTGTCGCAATGATCGATTTGCTCACGCGTAAGACCTGCCACAGGTTGGTGATGTGAAACATCAGTGGTTTCAGGATATGTTCCAAGAACCCGTCCACTTCATCTCACAACCGATCCCATCACCAAATATAGACCTTCCAAGGGGGACTCCAAAATGAAAACGAACAATCTTAAGCCAAGTTGGGATTATCCGCGCACGGTTCCCTTGCAGACCTCCACGTTCATTGCCCACCATAAACGCTGTGGGGCCGCGGAATGGGCTGGAATGGAGAGACTGCGCCTGCCAGCTCGACTGAAAGGCATCTGAATCCTATCCTCCTTTCGCTGAATATCTTCTCCAAGGCGCTGGGTTTTTGTATTGGATGCATTTTGGAAGCCAATATGGGTGAATTTTAGATTGGGGGAATCGGATTACCATCTTAAAACACTTTCGAACTACTTCGCTCACAAGTGGCACCTGCGGCAGAATTTCCACTCCACAAACTTGAAGCTCTCCAGAGGGGTGTCGTGCCTCTGGATGCAAGACATAAAAAGGAGGACAAAAAAAGTTTGGCTCAAGCTATTGGAGTACCAATGGGCTCTATAAACCATACCATACATTACAACTCCCCAGATACAAACTGATACATCTTTGGTTTCGGCCTGCTCATCCCCAGAAGTGTGCAAGAACTCGACACACAGAACGATAGGCAAGCTTTAAGTTCAATGAGCTACGCTACGGGAGCATGAGTACAATTGGTTTAGTCAGCTCCTGAGGTCACCCATAAGTGATGCCAGGTTTCAAAAATATGTTTGAACATGCCTTGGAAGATGGAGTCAATGACAACATTCCTGACATCACTTCGTTCAGCCAGCTCTCAGAATGTGGGTGGCCAGGCCTTCAACGCAGCCACTGCTTCTTGAACTGTAGCTGCGTTCTCAATAGGAACGACGCCCTGACCACTTTTCTTGCAGAATGCCTGCAACGACAGGCATCGATGGCAAGACCTTATAGGTAGACAACACAAAAGTCCAGCCAAACATCTCACAGTGGTACGCTGGGAGCGAATCGAAAGTTCAACGAGTTGGCCCAAAAGCATCGTGGTCAAACACCCCTGACACCTGTCGGACCACGCCTTGAACCCTTGACGCCCGACCAGCATCACCAGGCGAACACCAAAGGCGGCTGCAGACCGCAGAATGGCGCCAAGATTGTTCTTTTTGTTGAGATTGAAGAGGATGAGATAGCAGTAGTTTGCACCACTCCCGCCAGTCCGATCTGGACAGGATTGCTGGTGAAAACTGGGATTGATAGTGAATAAATGACGAAAATTGTTTGATCGAATGTGCAACTCGTTCCCAACCTTCAAGGGCTGGCCCAAGAGGGATGCCAACGGAATCATCCTGCGATTCAGTTTGATGTCTGTTCTTGTTTTTTAAACCTCAATATGCCTAGTAGGTGTGAATTTTCGTCATCCTCAAGCACATGAGATTGTCTCAAACCCAAACAGTCATGATCTCATTATATTATAGGTCATGTTCCCCATTATATACAAAATTGTCACAATCGTGGTATCCCGGTATCAAAAGGGTGCGAAAACCCGCATAGTTCGTGACCTATACTGTACCAGTTTGGAGTAGTTCGGGTATGGTTTCAAATGATTGCCCCCAAACAACGGATGGTTTAACAGCATCCGAACGCAAAAACATACTGCACGACACCGTGAACCGAAAAGAAACCAGGAGACAAACATTAACTGGTCCTTCCAAAGGAAAATGGGGAGGATGAAGATGAGATGAGGATGAGGATGAGGATGAGGATGAGGATGAGGATGATGATGATGATGATGATGATGATGATGTTGGTGATGATGATGATGATGACGACGGTGGTGGTGGTGATGGTGACGATGATGATGAGGATGAGGATGAGGATGACGAAGATGATGACGAAGATGATGAGTAAGATGATGATGATGATGATGATGAGGAGGAGGAGGAGGAGGAGGACGATGATGATGAGGAGGAGGACGATGATGATGATGATGATGGTGATGATGATGATGATGGTGATGATGATGGTGATGATGATGATGATGATGGTGAGAATGATGACGATGATGATGATGAGGAGGAGGAGGACGACGACGACGACGAGGACGACGACGATGACGACGACGACGACGACGATGATGATGATGATGCTGCTGCTGATGATGATGATGATTGCAAACTTGTACGCGCACAGACGTTTTTACGCAAAGGCGTTTGCACACAGAGATGTAAAAGATGCAGATGATGTATGTGATGTAGATGAAGTTGCCCGAGATGATGTATGCGATGTAGAGAATGTAGGAGATGTTGCGTAGCTGAAATGGAATTTGAATTTGGCAGCAATTCCTTTGGGAAAAAAACTTCGCAGGAGCTTTCGTGGAAAAAAACGATGGGTCCATTGGTGCCCCGAAAATATCTTGACCCATCCCATCACCATGAAGTCAGTGGTTCCTCGGGCAAATCAACCTGCACATAGCAGAGGGCTCGTGCCCTCAATATCTGAAACAGTTTTTGCCAAACCCAAAATGGAGGATCCACCGAATATAAACAACGGGCAATTCAACCAAAAGAATAATGACGCACCAGCGACACCAGAGGATTTCACCAGAGGATTTCACTAGAAGCAAATAACAAAACAAAATACGTCAACATGATCAGTTCCTCAATACAGTGATTCACCCAGATTTTGCATGAAACAAACTTGGTAGATCCCAAGTTGAAAGCACATTTCCGCTACATCAGTTCCCACGCAGTTTGATCGCTACAAATTACTTGCAAAATATCCTCAACATCTCTCAATCAGAACTCATATTCAACCTCTATCCATCAACACACACGAAACCCCAGGACATCCCTTCACGATGACACCGCCTCGTCACTCATCACCCAGGGCCGCTCCTCACTGGAGCCATGTGTGCCACATTTGTCACACCACGCTTTGGCGCTGCTGGATGTGTTTGCGAAACAGGAACGGCAGTGATATCGAATTCAACACTGCTGCAGTGCGTTGCTGTGGCTCTTGTCTTTTGCCAAGCACTAGCACGAATGGACCAGTGAAAACCCAAACCCATATGAAATAATCACGAAATTTGCAAATAATTTCGATTGTTTCCGCACAATAAATTGTAGCGTTCAACATACCAAGTGGTCCCTGCAAACAACTCGTTCTCATTGAACTGCAAAGTATTGAACCCAAAAAGGGCGGCAGGCCAGCCATCAATCGCTGTGGACATGAATAGGCAGGTTTGCTGCAATCAATTCTGACGCTTATTGAAAATATTGAACAGTAAAACCGTAAAACAAACTACCCAAAAAAAACGCTAAAGTTTCACAGGAAGCCTTACGCAAGTTCTTTGTAGGTGCAAACTGCGGGCTCCAAGTTTGGACCTACAAAATGAAATTCGTCCTGCCTTCAATTACAGAATGCATGCCGGCCCCCAATATGCGCCAGTATAGACGTGCTACAAAATTCAATCGGAGAAACTGTATGCTACTGAAAAAAACATGTTTTTAAAAAGGTTTCTACCATTTTCCACACAATTTTGATTACACGCGTCCTTCACGCATGGGTGGTTAAGAGCTGCTTTGCGGAGCTCCCAATCCGCTTGTTGCTTGGCCTTCGCCTCCAAATCCATTCAGATCCATGGGAGTTTCAGGATCCTAAAATGGAGGTGCTGTGTCATATAAGGCCACATTTTGTGGGTTCCTTCTGCCTGCCTTGGCCTTTTTCTCGGCTACTCTGACATTGCCCGACCTCCAACCAGGACAACGCGTTATATAGTGTCTGTGGCTCGATGCGATGACGAATGGCATCTGCTTGTGTGTTTGCAGGCCTGCCGTGGCGCTTCTTGTCGTCAGGCCTGCAGCACTTGTGCACCCAGACGTTCGACTGTACGGCCATGGCCTCAGGATGCAAGGTAGTCTCGCATGCACTCATCCGTCAGTCCACGTGCCGTCATAACGCTCAAATCTTAGATTCTGACGGTGGTTGGCAGGTCAGTTCGCGAGTTTGCGGCCGGGCGCTAAGGCTTAGGGGGTCCGGAAGCTGCGGGTATCCAAAGGCTTGCTTCAAAAGTCCCACGCCGTGGCAAGACGGCGCTGTGTCAGGCCCTCTTTCTTCACAACCATGTTGTACTGACATGGGCCCCTTTACAAAATGGAAGTGGTGGTAAAAGGTTTTACTTACATGTCAATGCGGCCTTTGAATTTGTTAAAAAACTAAGGTTTTGCGCGCAAACGATTTTTCACGGTGGGACAAAAGGTATGTATACATTGGCTCGCAAACCTCCCTGTGCGTGAGAACCTCACCGAGTACCTGCACCGGAAACTTCCGGAAACTCACAGGGTATCTGCACCCGAACCCTCCGGAACCACACAGAACCCTCCGGAGCCTCAGCAGGTATCTTCACCGGAACCCTCCGGAACCTCACGAGGTATCTGCACCGGAACCCTCCGGAACCTCGCGAGGTGTCTGCACCGGAACCTTGTCCGGAACCTGGTGTTGAAGCTGCACCGGATCGCACCGGAGCTGATCTGGGCTAAAGACCCCATAGCAAAGTTTTGCTGTTGGGGAAAAATATTGAGTTGTTAGTTGGAACATATTGCTTCCCAGTGCTCTTCTGGATATCCGTGCCCGACTCGCCTCAGGAGCTGTCTTTGTCTCCAATAGGAGTTCACGGGGAAGAACAGACACGAATTGCAGGGAGGTGCAAATAGTGCAAACGTCACAACAGGCTCGATACAAGAAAGGTGATCTACGAACAAAAGTAAGCTCTTAAATTTGGCTGACTAGTTGACGATATGACGATATGGCTCATGTTGGCACATCTCTGCGCGCAAAACAGAGATGAACGTGCCTCCTCGCCGTGTGCACCACAAAGCACCGCCGCTCACATCAGCAACAACAACAACATCATGCGGAACTGGCCCACTTCAAGGCGCTGGCACTGACGCTGATGATATCTATCCTTTGCGACTCTGGAAGCCGTCGCAAGGAAACAAAGACCCTCGGGCAGCATATGATTTCGCAATGCGAGATGCAGCAGCTCTGCTTTCAGACAAGCCTACATTGCCGGGACACCTGCATGCCGCAAATGACCCTGAGATGGCATAGGACTTGCTAGATTACCATTGCGCATTTCGAAGCTGCGGATTCAAGTGCGCGACACAAGCGGCGCTTGCAGAACATGCTGCTCAACATCATGCGGCTGCGTTATATCCGCCGACCCCAGACGATGGCAGGGGGAGCGCGTCCGAGGAGCACCTAGGCGATGGCGGCCCAGCAGCATGTCCTTGGCCACCTGCCGGGCGCTTTCCGGAGATTTTCTTCTGGTTTCAGAAAGCAACGTTAGGCAGTAGGCTGGCCTTAAACGCTTCCCGGCGCCCTAAGCTGCCCTTAAACCCTTCCCGGCGCCCACCTGCCTAGGCGATGGCGGCCCAGCAGCATGTCCTTGGCCACCTGCCGGGCGCTTTCCGGAGATTTTCTTCTGGTTTCAGAAAGCAACGTTAGGCAGTAGGCTGGCCTTAAACGCTTCCCGGCGCCCTAAGCTGCCCTTAAACCCTTCCCGGCGCCCACCTGCCGGGCGCTTTCCTGGAGATTTTCTTCTGGTTTCAGAAAGCAACGTTAGGCAGTAGGCTGGCCTTAAAGGCTTCCCGGCGCCCGAAGCTGCCCTTAAACCCTTCCCGGCGCCCTTGGCGGCCCAGCAGCATGTCCTTTGGCCACCTGCCGGGCGCTTTCCTGGAGATTTTCTTCTGGTTTCAGAAAGCAACGTTAGGCAGTAGGCTGGCCTTAAAGGCTTCCCGGCGCCCGAAGCTGCCCTTAAACCCTTCCCGGCGCCCTTGGCGGCCCAGCAGCATGTCCTTTGGCCACCTGCCGGGCGCTTTCCTGGAGATTTTCTTCTGGTTTCAGAAAGCAACGTTAGGCAGTAGGCTGGCCTTAAAGGCTTCCCGGCGCCCGAAGCTGCCCTTAAACCCTTCCCGGCGCCCTTGGCGGCCCAGCAGCATGTCCTTTGGCCACCTGCCGGGCGCTTTCCTGGAGATTTTCTTCTGGTTTCAGAAAGCAACGTTAGGCAGTAGGCTGGCCTTAAACGGCTTCCCGGCCCTAAGCTGCCCTTAACCCCTTCCCGGCGCCCTTGGCGGCCCAGCAGCATGTCCTTTGGCCACCTGCCGGGCGCTTTCCTGGAGATTTTCTTCTGGTTTCAGAAAGCAACGTTAGGCAGTAGGCTGGCCTTAAACGCTTCCCGGCGCCCTAAGCTGCCCTTAAACCCTTCCCGGCGCCCTTGGCGGCCCAGTAGCATGTCCTTTGGCCACCTGCCGGGCGCCTTCCGGAGCCCTTGGCAGCAGCATGTCCTTTGGCCACCTGCCGGGCGCTTTCCTGGAGATTTTCTTCTGGTTTCAGAAAGCAACGTTAGGCAGTAGGCTGGCCTTAAACGCTTCCCGGCGCCCTAAGCTGCCCTTAAACCCTTCCCTGCGCCCTTGGCGGCCCAGCAGCATGTCCTTTGGCCACCTGCCGGGCGCTTTCCTGGAGATTTTCTTCTGGTTTCAGAAAGCAACGTTAGGCAGTAGGCTGGCCTTAAAGGCTTCCCGGCGCCCTAAGCTGCCCTTCAACCCTTCCCGGCGCCCTTGGCGGCCCAGCAGCATGTCCTTTGGCCACCTGCCGGGCGTCCATGCTTGGATTTTTGGGACCAACTGTCGACTCTCATGGGAATTTTATGCTTTCATGGTGTTAATAGGTTATTATATGGTTTTCATCGGTGTTAATAGGTTATTCTAGTAGGTGCCATGGCCCGGTGATGTCACCTGCTGCTGACTGGAAAAGCAGGTTGGAACTATGGTAAAATGCTCCATGGTGCTGGTATATTTACCACCACAACTGGGTGATTTGTTTGGGTAAAAATTGGTAAACCTTCCACTTGCCGTCTGGTCAACTATGACATCACTATGGACAACCATTTTTAAGAGGGAAATCAACTATAAATAGCCATTTTCAATCGCTATGTTAGCCATTACCAGAGGGTACATCAGTTGGGCTAACTTACTGGTGCTAAACGTAGGGAATGGATGGGAATGGATGGGTTGCTGGGGGTTGCTGGGCTGATTATTACTAGTGATTGTGGATCATTCCCTGACTCGTTCCCTGCGTTTCGCACCGGTAAGATCATAGCAAATGATCATGATTTTTTTTAGACGAACTTGTAACATCTTATGATCCTACTTGGGGTGTGACGTTACAAATGTAACCATGGGTTATAAACCACAAGTTGGAATATAAGGCATATTAATGACTATGGCTATGATTTGTCTAAGTTCTCCGAAACCGCACTTACAACTAAGTGGGATTTAGGGAAGAACTGTCACCGCCGAGATAGGGACTAGGATGGACCGACATTTTGGACCAAGTGAACCAAGTTGACGGCCATTTGCCATCTTTCTGCGTATGTTCATGATTCATCCCCAAAACTCAGGTTCCGTTCCTCTTGAGGTTCCGCCTTTTTTTTTCTATCCAAAGATTCCCCCATGTTCCAATTGGATCCAGCTCACCTGGAAACCATTTTGAGCCTCCAAACTTCGAACGTCTCAAAGAGGGAGCTCTACACGACAGGTATCGCAGCATCCGCTGTTGCGAGCGATTGGAGCCGAGGAGGCGTTAATTATTGATCATTATTCACCATCAACAAGCAATAACCATCATTAACCATAACCCATTAAACAAATGTAACCCATGGATGGTCTCTCATTGATATATATAGTTGATGCTTGGTGGCGACTGGAATAGATGGCTATCTTCGCTCCACCATCGGGGGATCACCGTCATGGTTGGATAAAGCCCCAGGCATAAAACCACAGTCTACACTCTACACTTGACACTCTTCACACTCACCCTGTACACTCCACACTTAATCCTCCACACTTTCCACTCTACACTCTACGCTTTACCCACTGCACACTCCACACTCCGCACTTTACACTCCACGCTCCTCACTCTGCACCCCACACGCTACCAGGGGTCGGCGGCAGGGGGCGGCAGCCCTTTAATAACTTGGCATTGCGGTGGTCATCGCGTGTTGACCCCACTCCAATGCCCCAGCTCCAGGACCCAAGTCCAAGCCAAGAAACCCACCACAAAACTATCCGGGGCCATCGGCAAGGGCAGCGTGCTCTTTCCATTTTTTCCCATTTTTCAGATCTTGTGGCTCAAGATGGGTCAACATGGGCCAACATAGGCCTCAAGATGGGCCAACATAGCCTCAAGATGGGCCAACATAGCCCCCAAGATGGGCCAACATAGCCCCAAGATGGGCCAACATAGTTTCAAGATGGGCCAACATAGCCCCAAGATGGGCCAACATAGCCCCAAGATGGGCCCACATTGCCTTCAATGTAGGCCAACATAACCCCAAGATGGGCCACCCTAGCCCCAAGATAGGCCGCCGACCATCAAAATATCCTGCGTTTTACAGTGTTTTTTTGCTGTTCCCACTTTTCGGCTCTTTCGGCTCAACCTGGGTCAACATGAGGCCAACATAGCTACAAGATGGGCCAACATAGTTGGGCCCCTGGCCGGCTGTCGCGCGTAAGCGCTTAAATCCGGCGATGCCACCGTGTGGTCCGGTGGTGTTTTCACGTTTTTTGGGGTCTAGGGTGGAAAAGAAGACGCTAAAATAGATGTTTTTTGGAAGTCATTTTGAACACTTGTTGGCAATTTTTGTTGTTTTATTGGTGCGTGCCAAGGGCCAAAACACGGTCATTTACAATGTTTCTGTGCCTTTATTATGGAAGAAGTACTTCTTGCAACAGGTTGAAAACTGAATAAATACCAGTGTTTTTGCTATGCACTAGCCAAGACACACTGCAACTACCGTGATTCTTGCTACCAGAAGCAAGAAAACCTCGTAAACCCATGGTTTTGTACTTCGGTAATTACGCTGTTTTTCTTCCGATAATCGCAAGAAAAAAAACTTGAAAACTTCACCTATTTGACGATTTTCGGCCACTACCAGACTGAGAAAAAAGCTGCACAGGCAACAAGAACAACAACAAAAACAACCACAAAAACAACAACAGCAAGAACAACACAACAACAAAAACAACAACAACAACAACCACAACCACAACCACAACCACAACCACAACCACAACCAC